TCAATTCGCATTATGTTAGCTCTTGTTGCACAGTATGATCTTGAGCTTGTGCAACTTGATGTGAAGACGGCTTTCCTACATGGTGATTTGAATGAAGAGATTTATATGTGTCAACCGGATGGGTATATAGTGAAAGGGAAGGAAAATTTGTTTTGCAAATTGAAGAAATCACTTTATGGCTTGAAGCAATCTCCAAGGCAATGGTATTTGAGGTTTGATAAATTTATGAGAGGCCAAAATTATTCTAGAAGTCAATATGATCATTGTGTGTACTTCAAGAAGTTGCAAGATGGGTCTTTCATTTATTTGTTGATATATGTTGATGATATGTTGATTGCCTCAAAGAATGTTGAAGAGATTGAAAAATTGAAGAAGCAAATGAAGAATGAGTTTGAGATGAAGGATCTTGGTGAAGCGAAGAAGATCCTTGGCATGGAGATCACTAGAGATAGAGAGAAGGGTTTGGTTAGTTTGAATCAAAGACAATACCTTGAGAAATTGATTCGGAAGTTTGGAGTTCATGATTCAACCAAACCGGTTAGTACCCCTTTGGCTCCTCATTTTAAATTAAGTTCTCTACAATGTCCTAAAAATGATAAAGAGAAGCTGCAAATGAAAAATATACCATATGCAAATTTGGTTGGTAGTTTGATGTATGCAATGGTATGCTCTAGACCGGATATTGCTCATGCAGTTGGCATGGTGAGTCGATATATGCATAATCCAGGTAAAGAGCACTGGCAAGCAGCTAAGTGGATATTGAGATATCTCCATGGTACTCGAGATGTTGGTTTATGCTTTGAGAGAGATGACTCTGGTATTGGTCATTTTGCAGTTGGTTATGTTGATTCAGATTATGCAGGTGATCTGGATGGAAGGAAGTCTACTACAGGCTATGTGTTTACTATGGCTAAAGGGCCAGTTTGTTGGAGGTCTATTTTTGCAGTCGTCTGTTGCCTTGTCTACTACAGAGGCTGAATATATGGCAGTTGCTGAAGCTATAAAGGAGGCCATTTGGATACATGGGCTGATTACAGATTTGGGGGTTGATCAGAAGCAGGTGGAGGTACATTGTGATAGTCAGAGTGCCATTTATTTGGCTAAGTATCAGGTTCATCATGCGAGGACCAAGCACATAGATGTGCGTTATCACTTTGTTCGTGAAATTGTTGGTGAAGGGGAAATCATTCTCCAGAAGATTCCAACTAAAGACAACCCCGCTGATATGTTGACTAAGGTTGTTGGTGTAGCCAAGTTTGTTCATTGTTTGAACTTGGCTCACATTATGCCTATATAAAGAAGGCGTTGAGCAGTAGGAGTTTTGGAGCATTTGGCTCGGTATGAGTTGTTCTCGTACTAGTGTTTGGGAGTGATTTTTTTGTGTTGATTGTGTTGGTTGGCTTATCATGGTGTTTTCGAAATTTGGCCAAGGTGGAGATTGTTAAATTATGGCCAAACAACAATTACTTTCGGCTATTAAAAAAAGGAAAAGAAAAAACTTTTGGTTATAAAATTATAAAGACATCATGATGAGGAGGCATCATGATGATGTTTTTTCTTCTTTTGTGGTTTTTTATTAGCCGAAAGTGATGGCTTGGTTTAAATAATAAGTCATTGTTTTGTTTCGGTAGATAGAGAAGAAAAGGAGAGCTCAATTTCAGTTTTGAGCAGAAGAGAGAAGAGAGCTGCAGAGAAAATGAGTGCAAGCTGCAGAGCATCAGAAAATTAGAAAGGGTGCAACAACCCTTTGTTGAAAAGAAGAAGAATGTGCTCTTCTTTTTTATTAGCAATCATCCATCATAGTTATTGTTGTGTAATAGCTTTGAGCTATATGTGTAGAGAAGAAATTATACCTTATATTCTTTCTCTATTTGTTTCTGTGGTGTGTGAGAGCTATTGGGTGTATTGGGTTATTTGGGTTGTGAGATTGCCAACACTTTGTAAACTCCCATTTGGTTGATAGTGGATTATTGGGTGAGCTCCTACTGCTCCGAGGACGTACTCCAGTTACACTGACTGTTGAGGAACCTCGTTAAAATCTTGGTGTCTTTTATATTTTGTTCTTGCATTTTCATTTGATAAATTTCCTGTGGGTTAGCTTGAGTTGGTTCCAACGGGTTTGGTGCTATCCTAGCACAACAAGAGGCACCTTCATGTTTCTTAGCACTTTGAACTCTCCAAGTTCTCATGGATAATGCCTTGTAAACACATTTCAAATACATTTGTAGTGTATTTAATACAGGTTAGTCCTAAAAAGGACAAATGCCTTTCTACACTTACTCAAATACTTTTAGTGTCCACAATATAGCTCACTTCTTTTAAATTTGGACGACTGTACACATGAATGAATCATGTCCATATAACCTTTTAAAATATATGAAAAGATACAAGATTAAACCACCACACTATTGTGGAGAAAAGCTTGATGCAATTCTTCAACGTTTTGTATTATTTCACTATTTGCACTACGTTAGAAGAATGAATAAGTGAAGTTTGATAGCATACCAATCCTAGCAATTCTTACAGTACATGAATTTGCATCAGCATGTCGAGACACCACCGTCCCCCGTAAATATGCTTTTATTCCGAAACTTCGCACTAACGCACACATAATTTTTCCCAAATTCCTATGGGAACATGTATATGGAATTGTCAAATGGTTGCATCCTTTCGCTAACCACCACTTGTGTTTTGAGTCACGACTCTTCATTAAGAGTCACTCAGATTTTGACGTATGCAAGTCTAACAATTGCATCCCCTCAGACAATCTTTGGTCTTTGATTTAAATGCCAAACTCTTTTATTTGAAAAATACAATATTTCCAGATTCTGCAAACCAATTTTGCTGTGTCAAAATGGTTCATCCATTCTTGAACCAGAATTTGTTCATCCCTCCACTTGTAATCAAGAGGTCCCGTTGTCAAATGGTGAGACTTGTATAGAAGAATGTACTGGATTTTAATACCCAGATTTCCAATTGATAAGATTCCTATACAGAGTACGAATTTAATCACAATAAAATGATCAAATTTTTAAAGTTTGCATTTTGTAACTCATAATTTAATATGAAAACGGTCGTGCCGCCATGCACCAAGTGAGAAAAGACATGTCCAATTTAATATGAACATATAGATTTGAGTTCAACAAACAAATATATCAAACACAAGAATTAACACATAATTGTCGTTCTTCGAAATAATATGTGATCGGAAAATATTGTCTACAGCCGAATCATGCACCAATTAATGTAGCAACCAAACCAAATAAATTTGACATGACTATATGGAAACAAAATCATAGTTTTTTTGCAAAGATTAGATACCATACCATTCTCTCACAAAATTAAACAAGAAGAAATTATGCCTCTAGGACCAAGCCTTATTATATCATGCATCATTTAATTCTCAAACAAACATAACAATCAAATTGTAAACTTGTCTTAAGATTGTTGGAAAAATACGGTCTAATTGCTATATTAAATCATATGGAAAAACAAGAAATAATTCATGCAATTATATATCAAAGTAATGCATGCACATAAGTAACTAATGTTAAACGAACATGACATAATGGATTAGAAAAACCTGAAAATACGGTCGAGGCAAGTGTTAGACAATTTGTCCTTAAAACAAGTTTACGCCCTACTACGGTGCTCATGGTTGATCGGTGCATGTCTTCCAAGATACAACGACCACGTCTTTGTAATAGTAGCACTCCAAACCACAAGGCTCCATGAACCACGATTGTGTTGAAAACTCTCTCATATGAACTCAATCAGACTCTCTAATATTTAATAAAAGTTCTTAAATGATTATAGGGGGCTTCCTATTTATAGAATGTACCTCTTTGGAAAGCATGTGAATATTCATGAAAAGTCAAAAGTTGCAACACTTCATTTAAGTAGACATATCTTTCTACCAAAAGACTCCACTTCTAATTTCCATTCAATTAATAAATTTAATATAATAATATTGTTATTAAATTTTCCAACACCACATTACATTGATTCTTTAGTAATTTTGTGGTGGTTTGAATTACAAAACTGTTTTTTTCTGTTCAATGCTTATTTTGTAGGACCTTTTGTAAATCTATTAGGAAAACTAACAAAAAGTCCAAAAAAGTTTTAGTTTTAATAAAAATGACAAATAAAAAAGTAGTGAATAATATCAGAAAAAGATAAAAATATGATTTTTCGTTAAAAATGAATAGTATCAGGATTGTTTCGTTAAAACTCTCAAATTTATTAAGAACTTTACTACTTTTTCGTAGAATTTTTCTGAGCTACTACGAAGGCAAACCGTGTTAAATGTACGTTTCATTAACAATGGTGATAAAATAAACAAAGGGCACGAATGTATTGACACCTTATGTATCCACGAAAAGGCGACACTTCTTCTTTAGTGTCTTCTTAAGTATATATACAATGAAATGGGAGGGCGATTAGACTAGGTGACATAATAGATCAGCTATTAACTATGTATTGTGCTCAAAGTTAATAGAAAATGTTATACGTCATCACCATTTATGTGAGATTTTACAATGAATTTGATCAACAACTTGCAGAAATTTTATACAATTTCCACCAACCAGCAATTTATATACCTTCAACATTCGTGCTTTAAACTTTGAAATTACTGCAATGTTTATTTTGTTTTGTATTATTTTTATGGGGTTTTGATTACTTTTTATTGTAGTTTATTTATGCAATTTTAACAAACATGAACAATGAGTACACTGAAAACTAACAAAAGGATGGAGAAAGAATTGACGACTAACTGGTGTGGGTTAGATCCCCACCGATTCTTCTCTCTCTAACAACTAATTATTTAACCCACTAACGCTATTGCTACACACAAAAAGAATGGAGAAAGAATTTACAAAGAGTAGATGTATTTTGTGTTAAAAGAAGTATATTGCTTTTGGATCTAAATTCATATACAAGTATGTTTGTCTAATCTGTACAAAATTGAATCCTACTGAACTGCATGATATTTTTCATGCCTAATGGTTGAATATGTTGAGAAGAGCGACTCTGGCTTTGATTAAACGCCTAAATAGTCCCTCGATTCCTTCTTCGATATCTTGAATTTTTGCCTCCAATTCTTGGAGAAAACATTGAACATTCTCGAGTTCGATTGTGTAATCAAATTTCCTTGACTTGTCACTAATAAGAGAGTTCAATGCAACATCCACCTTCTCAAGTTCATTTGTATCCTCAACTTCCTCGCAAGCTACTCTTTTGGGCTGCACCAACTTGGAGAACCAATGGTTGGACTTTGATTTCGATACAGCAATAAATGACAACAAGGTTTCAAACACAGCTATGGAGACTGCATTTGATTCTTTCAACATGTTGACCGCTGCTGGAGTAATCTCGTTGTTTTTGTCTGTGGACCTGCTTTCCTTGACCTTCAAGGCCTTGTTCATCGCCTTCTTGACATCCTTTCTAGAGGTCATGAAGCTCAAGTCATCTCCTCGTCTTCTGCGCATAATCGACTCAAGTTCATGTGTTCGTTCTTTTGTTTGCGACAAGGCATCCTTAATGATTCCACACTCAGCCAAGAGCCTCAAAGATCCATCTAGCAGTTCATTAATCCATTTGTCTCCACACTCTTGGGCCAAGGCTTGTTGAGAGAGTGGCAAAAGAAGAAACCTTTCGACGCACTCGAGCAAATCTTGAAACCCATTGAGTCTGTGGCTTATGGATGATGATGGTGAAGCCTTTAATCCTCATAACTGCTCATCGAATTCTAGAATGAAAGGGTGTGATCGTGAAGGCAAGCTGTTTGAGCGAGTGTGGTGGGCAGCCATTTTGTTAGGTTGGAAAAACAAGGCCTTTTACTTTGAAAGTTTAGTTCAAATGGGGCTTCAGTTTGCTTTCCTTACCTTCGGCATCTGCTCAATATATATTACAAACTTTAGGAGATGAGCAACACGTCCTACCCACAGCTGACCCAACTAAGTAGCAATGTGATTTCGATTTGGATCCTAAAACTATATGAGTGATGTTTATCAATGTCTCCCTACCACGAGATCGACAACCTATCACCAATTATACTTGTCCATCGCATATCTTGTGGATCACTCTGCAATATAAAATGTGGAAGAACATATTAAACAAATGGGTGGTGAGTTGGAGAATTGGTTGTAGGGAAACACAGCAAGGACATAACTGAGATATAATAAGGAAGAGATTCTTCATGTCTCCTACTATGATATTTGAGTAGTCAGTCATCATCATGTTGTATATATTAATTATTAAGCAGATGCCACGCAATGAATGTAAATCACTAGCTAGACTGAATTGTACATTCAACTGCAAAGCCTTCTCTTCTCCAAATAGAAAAAAATGGCTGCGATGAAACTGAGTTGCCATGCGCGCTCAAATAACTTTCCCTCTACAAACCACGCTTTGGTTTCACAGTTTGATGAGCAGTTGTGCAGACTGATAAGACTTTTGAAACCGCCTTTTTGTCATCCACATAAATAAGCCAGAAACCAAATGGCCTTAAAGGTTTGGATAACTAAGACATGGCATAGCCGAGGATACCTTGATCCAAACAAAAGAATGCACACCAGAGATTTATTAATCATCCGTAGAATACAATCGATGATCGCATGGCAGACTCTGATTATTATGCTGGTTTTCGTTCTGCTTAGGGAACACTCCGATTCATCGAGTCTGCGACATAACATTATTTTACAATATGCAAGCACAATGCATGGTCATAAACAATAGATATTGCAGACTTGCCTGCTCCTCTTCCTGCAACCATAAAAATAAGATGAATATTGTAATCATATACATTGATCAGAATATTATAGTTTGTTGCCGCTAAGAAGGATGGTGCAGATGCTAATCGTGGACACATGGTCAATGCTAATCGTGTAATGGCATGTATTTTAATTTGTAATTATTCAATTATTGTTCAATTTTAATAGTGTAATCTGAGATTAAATGAAGTATGATTCAGCTCATGAATTGGTATATTGGTGTGGCGAGAGACATTGCTTAGACATTGCCCGGGGAACAGTATATAGATCCAAATCGAAATCATGTTATGTCTCGCTGGTGACTGAAGTGGATGAGATTCCATTCCCCTTCCCTTAACCAACACTATATATCAAGCAGATGCAGATGGAAAGGAACACATCAATCTGAATTGTTCATTAACCAAAACTTTCAAGGTCTTCTATTCTCTCTTCTCACAACAAACAAAGAAGAAATGGCTTTCCACACTCGATCTAACAGCTTCCCCTGTAGGCGACACCTAATCATTCAAGAAATTGACGAACATTTGTGTAGATTAAGGTCTTCCGAGGGCACCTCCACATCATCATCATCAATCAACCACAAACTAAGCGACCTTCAAGACTTGCATAATAGTGTGGAGAAGTTGCTTCAGTTGCCTCTCACCCAACAAGCCTTGGCATAAGAGCAGAACGAGAAATGCGCTAATGAACTTTTAAATAGCTCTCTCAGACTATTAGATATATGTGGCACTATCAAGGATGCCCTGTCACAAACCAAGGAATGCATATAGGATCTTCAATCGATCATAAGAAGGCGATGAGCTGAATTTGGAGCGCTCACAGGTGAGGTCAAGAAATACTTGAGCTCCAGGAAGATGGTGAAAAAGGCAATCCAAAAGGCAATGAAGAATCTCAAAGGTTCATCCCTCAACAAGGACAATAAGACCATTGCCATTGTTAGCAAGTTGAGAGATGTCGAGGCGATCACTCTCACATCTTTTGAATCATTGTTGTCCTTAATCACAGGGCCAAAATCCCAGCCACGAAGCTGGTCATTGGTCTCAAAGATGATGCAGTAAAAAATAGTTCCCTGTGAGGAAGAAACAGAAGCCAATGAATTTGCTATAGTGGATGATGCACTACACCGAAGTGCAGATAACTCGCAGAGCCAGCTTGAGAAGCTGGAGTCATGCATTCAAGATCAGGACGAAGGACTTGAGTGCCTATTTAGGCAACTCATCAAAACAAGAGTCTCCCTCCTCAACATCTTAAATCACTAGATGTTTAGGTTTTTACGATTTTGTACCTGAAAAACATACATACTTATATACAATCAAAATATACAAAATGATATACTCTTCCTCTCAAATTTCCACTTCTCCTTTTGCTCATTTCAATAGTTCTCTTTTCATAATATCCATTCGAAATTAGTGCAAAAAAGAACTTTGTTGTTCAATTACAAGATAAAAAGAATTAACTAAGAGGTAATTAATTTCACAGGAGTTACGAAAATGAATGATTGAGGGCACTTGGGATTCCACATTGTCTCACGAAGGATAATAATTACAGGTAATGGTTTAGAAATATTTATTTGGAAAATCTTCAAAATACATTTAAGTACTTAACTCATAAGCACGGTCGTGGTTAGGCTAATCTGGATTCACCGCCTCAAATTTGGATTACTTTCTTGATGGTGCATTACTTTCTGGAAAGTAAACCTAGGTCGGCTTCAAGGAGATACATAAGAAGCATTGAAGGAGCTGAAGAACAATGGACACTCAAATTATTCAACAAACATATTGCAAGCTTTCAAACAAAAGCTCTGCCTTTACTTGTTTCATCCCCTTTGCCTTACCAAAAGATCACTTGAAACCAAGACCTTAGAACTTTAGGATTATCTCCTTAGACGCTAAGATCAATTAGAATTTGCTCTGCTACCATCCTTTGCATAGTTTCGATTTACCAACCTTAAGATAAGTTAGTCCCTTTGGTTGAAACTCTTTACAAGGAAGCATCTTTAACCTAATCCGACGCCCTTGAAACCAATCTGATAAGAGTTTTATCGATTGTTTTAAGTTCATTTGTATATGTACTTTACTTGTTTTGTGATATTCAATATTATTAATATCAATTTCAATTTTGTACTTACTACTTTTGATACGTACTCTCTATAATTTTTTGTTGTGAATGACTAAAGTTGTGTGCTTAATGGCCTTCTTCCTACTTTGCTTGTTTGCTCACTTCCCTTGACATATATACATAGTAGTGATAGTTCTTAGACAAGTTTGTGCTGTTACTATGTTTGTATTGCTTTAATTCCAGATTCTCACGCTTGCAATCCTAGTAACTTTCTTTTTCTCGTCCCAATTGTATGATTTTATCCTTTATGTACTTTGTCATAATAATTGTTTTTCTATTTCTCTGGTGATGGGGAACCAAGGGCATGTTTACCAAAGGGGAATGAAATGGTGGAACCGGAATTGCACATATCCTCAACCATTCCAGTGTTTACCAAACCATCGGGAATCAAAATAATTATGGGACCCGCATAAATTCAGGAATTCAACTCCTGAAATGGCCAGAGTTTGATTCTCGAGTAGGAGGTATTTGGATTCCTGGAAATGGTTTTCATCAGGAATCTAACTTTTATACCGGTAATAGCCTTAAACTCCAAAGATGAGAACAGTATCAGTGTTTGCGGCCCTTGCGATGGTGATGGTTGCCCATAGGTGTTGTCTTCAAGCCCTTACTTGACAAGCCTTGCGTTCCTGATGAAGACCAAAGAACAGGGATGATGGTGGTCTCGCGATCAGGGGTAGGTCGACTGCAGAGGAAGATGGGGAAAAGATGAGGACGAGAGAGAGATGCCTAGAGAATTTTAGAAATGGGAGGGTCACCAGAGAGATGGGGAAGATAGGGGAAGAGAGAGAAGTGCCTGGGAAATTTTAGAAATGGATGGATCGACATGTAGCAGAGAGATGAGGGAGAGAGAGGACACGAAGTGAATTTTTTATTTATTTTTTTATTTTTTTTGGTTTGTTTTATGTTGGTAAGTTGGTAACTGGTAAGGAGTAATGAAAGGATGGAGAAAGAATTGACGAGTAACTGGTGCGGGTTCAATCCTCACCGATTCTCTTCCTTCTAACAATTAACTATTTAACCCACTAACGCTATCACTCTACAAAAAAAGGATGGAGAAAGAATTGAAAAAGAGCATTTATATTTTGTGTTGCTTTTGGATCTGAATTCATATACAAGTATGTTTAATCTCTACAAAATTGGATCCTACTGTACTGCATCATATTTTTCATGCCTAATGGTTGAATATGTTGAGAAGAGAGACTCTGGTTTTGATTAAATGCATAAATAGTCCCTCGATTCCTTCTTCGATATATCTTGAATTTTTGCCTCCAATTCTTCAAGCAAACATTGAACTTTCTCGAGTTCATTTGTATCCGCAACTTCCTCACAAGCTACTCTTTTGGGCTGCACTAGCTTGGAAAACCAATGGCTTGACTTTGATTTCGATCCAGCATTAGACGACAAGAAAGATTCAAACTCAGTTACAGAGACTACATCTGATTCTTTTAACATGTTGACAGCTGCTGGAGTATTCTCGTTGTTTTTGTCTCTGGTCTTAATTTCCAGAGGTAAGGTATTCCTATCCTCAGCCATGAAGCTCATGTCATCTCCTCATCTTCCATGCATAATCGACTGAAGTTCATGTTTACGTTCTT